TGTGACAAAGGCTTAGGGACTAATCGACCAAATATTCAGTAAGCTCTTGAATCGTAATAATCCCCCAGATTCCACGAAACTTCAGCAGGAACACAGTGAATGTCAAAACATCCGCTCACTAGATGGAGGCATATTTCTACTTCATATTGTCTTTTCTGTGTTGTGAAAGTTTGTCAGTGCTGCACCATTGTTTCTAAATCGATTATTTCTCCATACAGACCCAGAGAAAGGTGAATCTTAGATCAGCCAGGCTGTAAAAAGCAGTCATAACATGTCATTGACTGAGACTTGTAATTAGAGAGCTTTTGACCCACTGACTTTCTCAACCTCTTAACTTCCCCAGCCATGAGGCCTGCATTCACAAACTCATGAATGCTCTCTAAAAAAACAGTGATGAAAATGAAAATACAGCTTTGTATTCACTCAGTGTGAAGATGTCTATGAAAAGCACGTCATTACTCATAGAAGTAACATCATGGTGGGTTTAGGGCCATACTACCATAGAGGAAACAGCATGTGACTTAAAACAAGGCCGTATTTCTGCATTCTCAGACGGACTTGGAAAGAGGATTAAACAAGGAAAATACAAATATCCTTGAAGAACTCATTAATGGTCAAATGTGTCCAAAGACCAATGTTTAGTTACCAAAAAACTTCAATAATAGCCTGTGCTATTATTATCTTAAATCACTGAACTGAACAGGCCTGTATTCGGGACAGGCCTTTAATTCCTCTCACACAAAACTGTCGCTCAGCAGAGATGGTAAACATGATCAAATTGTTCATATAAACCAGTATAAAAATTAGGCTTCAAATTGCATAACAGAGAGTCACAACAATTGTTTCAAAGCACTCGAGGGTTACGGCATCCAGCATACCGACACAACACCAACTTATCCTGTTGAAACAAATATTTGGGATCATTTTTATGAAAAACACTTTTGATTCTTTTGATTGGTGGACCCTTACGAATGAAGGGAATATGAATAATTTACCAGATAATGGAGGATTGCGCACATACTCTGACTTTATAATAGCTTCAGAGGTAGGGAGTCACCACACTCACCACCATGGCAGTAAATCTGAATGAATTACAATCTCCTTTGGTGCTCATGGTTATATCTGTATGCCCGATCGAAGCAGCTAACTAACATTCAATCAATCAATTTTCAATTTTATTTATAAAGCCCAATATCACAAATCACAATTTGCCTCACTGGGCTTTACAGCATACGACATCCCTCTGTCCTTAGGACACTCACGGCGGATAAGGAAAAACTCCCCCCACAAAAACCCTTTAACGGGGAAAAAAAAACATTAGCTCATGTGGGTAGCCAGCAACCTGGTTTTATACATCCAAGAACTTCTATATAGATGAACTGCTTGGCAACCAGACCAGGCCTCTAATTGAGACAGGCCTTTATTTGTTAAAATGTGCAGCCACACCGGGCTAGTAAAAGCAACTAGGTGTTTAAACGGGACTAGGCTTTTAACTGAAGTTTTACAGTATATTAACATTAGATTTTCCGTACAAAACACAGGATCAGTTTAGAAAATATGATGCAGTGCCATATAAACTCTACCAGCTGTAACATTAAAATGCTCCTTGTCAGCAAAAGCATCAGTAATCCATCCATCTATCCATTTTCGTAACTGCTTATCCTCTTGAGGGTTGCGGGGGACTGGAGCCTATCCCAGCTGACATTGGGCAAGAGGCGGGGTACACCCTGAACATGTCGTCAGACTATAACAGGGCTGATAGATAGAGACAGACAACCATTCACACTCACATTCACACCTACAGACAATTTAGAGTCACCATTTAACCTGCATGTCTTTGGGCTGTGGGAGGAAGCTGGAGCACCTGGAGTCAAACTCCACACAGAAGGGCTACGATGCTAACCACAACACCACCGTGCCACACTAGCATCAGTAATAATATTCAAAAATTGATGTTTTTTTGTTTTGTACATACTGATAAAGTGTACAGTCGTGTGTATAGCTTATACAGTGGTGGAAGAGCTCATATTTAACTATATGTGACCATAAATCATTAATACTTTAAATTATGCTGGTAATGATTCTGCACTTTAACTTAAATGGAATATTGAATGCAGGACTTTTTTCAGCGCAGTATTGCTTTTCACATAAACAAAATGTATGAGTAGGCCTACTTCTACCACCACTGTCTAAGAGCTTTGCACAGTGCCAGTGGCAACATATTGTTTACCATTAAGCTTAAAGTATAGGTTTATGGACCATGTGGAGATAAAATACAAATATCCTAAAAGCATGAAGGCCCAAATGCGCTTAAATACAGGTGGGGTCAGTAATGCTTAGTCACTTCAGTCCCATTAGATGTCATAAACAAAACATACAGGAATTTCCTCAGGCATCTAAGGTAAAATAGTTTCTGCCTTGCCTCTCTCACCACTGAGTCAGTTTGCAACGCCCCGGTCAGACCCTCAGTGATGTGGACACCAACGTACTTGAAGATATCCACCCTCTCCACTGTGGACCTGTTGACATTAAGGGGGGCGTAGTTCCTTTGGTACTTCTTCCCAAAGTTCCCTATCATCTCCTCAGTCTTGCTGACGTTCAGGAGTAGGTTATTGTCCTGACAGCAGCGGATCAGGTCCTCTATTTCTCTCAGGTAGGCTTTTTGTTATCTGTGATCAGGCCCACCACAGCTTTGTCGTCAGCAAACTTGCTTATGGTGTTGGAGCTGGATGTGGCTACAAAGTTGTGTGTGTAGGTACAGGTAAGTATATATCTAACTTTCTGAAAGGGCCTATTCTACCCAACAGGTGCTTTTATTTTAATACTTTAAGTACATGATGTTGTTTTGTACTTTTACTTAAGTAAAATCTTGAAGGACTTTGACTTTAACAGAGTATTTCTATTGAAGTATTGCTTTTGCTTAGTCAAACTGTATGAGTAGGCCTACTTCTTCAACCACTGTCTCACAATTTTGCATAGAGTCACTGCGAGTAATTACACCAACGGCAGCATTTTGTTTACCATTATAGCTATACATGGACTGTGTGGAGGAAAATACAAATATCCTCAAACTAACTACCAAGGCCTAAATGGGTTCAAAGATGGGTTTAGCCAGTTATGCTTAGTCATGTTAACAATACATTTTATATAGGCTACAAAACATGTGATCAGTTTATAAAATGCAGTACGATGCAGTGCTATGGCTTAAACTATCCAACAGTAGGCTGTGTAAACCAGTTAAAATGAGCTCCACCTCTGCCAGCTGTCACATTAAAATGCTGCTTGAATCAGTAATAATGTTCATAAATTAATGTTTTTATGTTTTGAACACTGAATAAATTGTGCAATTGTATATATTTGCTCCACTGTGAACTTTTGCACATCCCCTGATTAATATTTTTGCACATCCTACACAAAACTGTACCGCCTTTTCTGTAACGGCTATATTGTACATGTATGTTATAGTTATAGTAGTTGTGGAAAATGTCATATCTTTTATTCGAAAAGGGCCTATTCTGCCTAACAAGCTTTGCTTTAACACTTTAAGTACAATTTGGTGTTAATGCTTTTGTACTTTTACTCAAGTGAAATCTTGTACGCAGGACTTTTAGGCTACTTTTACCAGAGTATTTTCACTTTTTATTTATTTAACCTTTATTTTACCAGGCAGATTGCTTGAGATCAAATGATCTCTTTTACGAGCAAGGCCTGGCCAAAATGGCTTTGGCAGTGACTTTTATCACTGTTTACCATTGTTTAACAACTTTGCACAGTGTCACTGAGTAAATTACGCCTACGGCAACATGTTGACCATAAAGCTTGAAGTAGCCTACTGTATATATGTGCAGCCTACAGCTTAAGGTGAGCCGTGCAAACTATTTTTGCCAAGGGTTCATCTCCTATACTAATGGCTGGAATTATACAACAAGTGTATAAATAGATAGATAGATGAAGCAAAGACAATATATTTTATTTTGAAAATGCAAAATTACTCCAAAGTAAATTGCTACAAATTACTTTTTTCCCCCACGACACATACCAATTACAAGCTACTCGAAACTACTCAAAATGAGTGATTACATGAGAGAGAGTTCTGTCAAAGTCATTCTTCTAATTTATGGCTCATAGTAATGTCTCAAAATGAAATAGTATGGGTATTGTATGCATTTCCTGAATCCTTAGAGTCATGTGAGTATTCCAGCTTTTGAGTACTCTGTCCCTGACATTTGTAGATGCCACAGGGCTAAAAGAAAAAATATAATTTATGCGAAAATTGTGAAAAAAATATGCGTCATTGACTGTTTAAAGGGCTACAGTTACCTCAGTATTTGTCAGAAAGATTAACAATTGGATTTGAGTGAAAGCCAACAAGGTCCCCTTTAAAATGACACCAAACACAATATAATAAAACACTGAAAAATGTCCTGACCACGAGCCTAAACTAGGATATAAGCCAGCGTCTAAAAAGCAGTATACTTTAGGGGGTGGTTCACTTCATGAGCTGGTTACTGTGATACAGCTGCCACTCAGTAATGTCTATCATACCAAAATATCATCTACAGACATGGACATTTTCATAAATTATTACTAAATTATTACTAAGTCCTGCCACCTCGAGTGGTACTGAAATCTGGTCTGGCCCATGGACTAATATACACAAAAATAAGTAGTACTAAAATTTAAAATATATATATATACAAGAGAAATATGCAGGAATGAAATAAAAGTATCAAAATTTCAGGAGAATGTAATTATTAAGCTATCTGAACGGTCCCGTGAAAACAAGAGCAGTAGAGGTCCCCGACTGATTGACTGAGACGAGTTGCCATCTATGGAAAGTTTATGGTTATGTAACCTGAATAAACATCACAGAACTACGGCGGCCTGGAAGATATGCGGAAATACATATTAGGTATGTTCTCAAGAATGCAGGAAGCTCATTGGTGGAACTGAACGCTAAGTCCCGCCCCCGGCCGTTGATTACCTTTTCCACTTCCTTCGCTCAGCTCCAGTAGTCCTCCGCCCATCCACCGTTAGAGAAGAAGCCGCACAACCCGACGCTCGTCCCTCATCTAAACATATGGCAAAAACCGCCCTCTTTCTTTCTTATATCGTTGGGCCCACTACTCTTTAAAAATTCCGCCGAAAAAGAGAAGACGATTTTCCAAAACATTCTGGCCGTTATCTCACGTAAGTACAGCGGAACACTCCGGTTGAGTTTCTTGGAACCAGCAGACGGACGTAACATGGCGGGCTGGTCTTTCTGCCTTCTAGCCACACATGACAGACTGATTCATTGAATTTTGTGTGATCGACGTGCCTTTTTATAAAACTTAAACGTACAAGTAGATTACAAATCGATCTTAACACTTGTGTCTAACGTTAAATCCTGTATTGTAGTAGTGTAGTGGTTTGTTTTTATGATTATTATCAAAATGAATGCTAACGTAAGCTTCTTTCTCCGACGTGCAGTCGCAGCCAGCTCAACATTAGCAGCTCTCGTTGCCAAGAATATCTCGGTAGCGCGTTTCCTCGCGATGGTGTTTCCTATCTTTAATACAGCCGCACTTTTACATGTTAAACCTACATTTTGATAATGTGGTGGCCTATTTTAGGGTGTAACGTTTTGGTGACGCATTATAGTAATAATACGTCTTTTGTCAAGTTATGACACTTTGCACCACCACAACACAGTGTCATGTTGTATTTATAGACGATTGCAAAATGTTGACTAATAGAGGTTAATAGGAGTCCACTGGTTTAATGATTTACTTATGAATAACACACTGGGCGTTTATTGGGTTAAATGAACAAGCCACGTAAACGCGCGCCACAGTTGTCTGACATATTGATTGTTCCGGTGATATTTTGACCTCAGTGACAACATAATGTGAACCAATGGATGATAGGTAAACTTTGTACAAGAAGTAAAATGACTGACACCCAGCTTAGGACACTGTGTCTCATGTGAGTTCGCTTGTGGTAAACATGTTGACACCTTTAAAGGGGAACACCACCTACATTAGGAATTGCATTATGTTATTTCCATGACCTAAAAAAGTACAATAAATATTTGCAAACATTAATCATTCTCTCTCAAAGCTAATGTCGAAGTTGTGATGTCATAGGGTTTAAAGCCTGGAGCGTGTCTTTAAACAATGAATGGGAGACTGATTTTGTCAACCCCCAGGATGTTTGTTTTCTTTTTATACCCCAGTGATGTTTATTCTATTCTTGTGTTCTCAGTTGCGAAACATAAAGTGTATTCATGTACATGCTTTAACATCCATAACATCTTTCTTAATTCACTGTCAGCAGACTTAATACCCTATGACATCACACATTTGAGTTTCAGCGCTCTAGTTTTTGGATTTTGAAGTGAGTTGTTTGTATTTTAGGACTTTCTTAGACCACAGGAATAACATGTATGAATTTGGAAAATGAGTTCCCTTTTAAATTGTTTTGCTATTTATACATCGCTAATATTTCTTTGTTTGTCCCATCAGGGCTCCCCTGTCTCTGCACAGGTGTATGAGCGCTACCCAGAGGGCCTAGGGGCGGCTCTTTACCGGGAGCACTTTGACTTCAACGCTGAGCCACCTTGGGATCCTAGCTGATAGCGGGACAGGTCCATCTCCTGACTTGTCCATGTGAGTGACTCGCTGCACACAAACACACACCTGTAGCAAAGTCCAGGAGCATTGTGTCCTGGGTGGAATTTGTAATACAAACCATGGCGTGAGTAAACATTTTAGTGTTGGGGTGGACATTTTTTTTTTTTAGGAAGTCAGAAGATTTAGATAAAAGCTCAATGTGATGTGTAGATTTTACACATTTATTTATTATACAAGAAATAATGAGGGGTTAAGAAACACAGATATTAGGATAGGCGTGCCCTAAGGGACTACAGTCATATAACAGGAGCTATAATTGTCGTTATACTGGAATTTCTGATTTCGATACAGTACCTTGAAGAATATCTGTATTCAAAGCCACAGGGAAACTTTGACAATGAGGGCATACAACTCAATTTTTTTATTAAAAGACACATGCAATAGGCTGTAACATGGCAGAGCTGACTTTTCTATTCTTGCTTAGTAGCAGAGAACTGCATTATGACTGTCGTAAACATTAACAGTGAGAGAAAGGGAGCAAACACAGCTGTACCTGTGTATCAATACTGCAGAAAAAGTGGAATTAATATTCAGAATCAGTGTGTATTGATAAACCAATATTTTTACAACACTAGTAGCTATTTTTATTTAAACTGTGGAATTGCATCTTGGTAGAAGTTCATCAGCCTGTGTATTTTATTTGCCTGGTTAAATTGCTCTAAAACAGCTTACTGTGGTGATATTAACAGTTATGTTTTTTTCTCCCTTTCTTTTCCAGTTTGTTGCATACCGGCAGGACCCCATTGGCTCAGTCGTGACCCTTTGACTTGCTTATCTGTTCTTTATGATTGTCGGCTTAGCGGAATACGGTTGAGATGAAAGGACTCGCTGACAAACCCAGCTACATCATTGAACTCCTGGAGGGAGGAGTGACCCTTGAAGATGTCATCGACGGACACATCTGCGAGCAGGCTCTGGTTGGTCCCGCTTGTTAGCCTTTCAGTGGAAGAAATTCCCCAAGTGCTTCAAATTGCTTTCATGACACTGTCATCAGCACTTAGCATGTTTTTCCTTTTTGACTGTCCCTTTCTAGGTGGAGAAGAATGCATTTGTGGTGGGGGACCTCGGTGCCCTGATGCGGCAGCATGTATGCTGGCAGAGCGTAGCGCCACAGCTGCAGCCCTACTACCCAGTCAAGTGCAACAGCAGCCCTGCGGTCATCGAGGTGCTGGCTTCCTTGGGCCTGGGCTTCGTTTGTGCCAACAAGGTAAGCTTCAAATTCAGGTGGCTTTAGTTTTGTTAAACTGCTCAGTGCCTCATCCTTTTATGAAAGCACTTGACATTTTGGGGCAATTACATCACAGGCACTCAATTGATTATAAGTCAGCTGATGACTGTTATCCTTCCAACTTATGCAACACACTTAGTACCATTTTGATTGTTTTGATGGGGCTTTTAGACTTTTATGTGTTCATTTCTGACACGTGTGTGTGCTCTGTCCTGCAGACTGAAGTGAGCCTGGTGTTGGAGCATGGCGTGCCACCAGAAAATATCATTCTGTCAGGCGTGTGCAAGCAGCTGGCGCACATCAAGCACGCTGCCAAGAACAACATCCAGCATCTTGTATGTGAAAACGAGGCAGAGTTGTCCAAGATTTCCCGCCTGCACCCTGGTGCAAAGTAAGTGATTAAATTGAGCAGAAAACGTTTTCCTTAGATACTTTAATTCTTGTGTGTCAGTGTAGTGAAGTACATTGTTTTTGTCTTGGGCGGAAAATAAACACAAGATTGGGAAAGCTGTTGTTAGTGTCAAAAGGTGAATTTATCTTGCTTATGGATGTTTCTTCTTTTTTCCTGTCTCTGGCTGATGTTCCTTTTTTTGTCTCTTTAAGGTTACTGTTGCAGTTGACCACTGAGGCCCACGCAGCTGAGACCAGCATGGCCTTTGGCTCCTCTCTGAAAAGCTGTCGGCACCTGCTGGAAGCAGCCAAGGAGCTTGGAGTCCAGGTGGTGGGGGTGACCTTCCACATTCCCAGCTCCTGCCAAGACCTACAACAGGCCTACACCCATGCACTGTCAGATGCCCGCTGTGTGTTTGACATGGGGGTGAGTGCTGTCTGGAAAATATTCTTCATTATAAAATGATTAACCCAGAGGAATTTAGTCAATATGGGTCAACTCAGGATTTCATGCTCTATCCTAAATGCCTTTTATCCTAAATGCCTTTTATCCCTTGTACTGTCTTCTTTGTTAACTGTAACGACTGACTGTCTGCTGGTTCGTTTCAGTTTGATCTGGGCTTTAACATGAACATCCTGGACATTGGTGGTGGATTTACTGGCTCAGAGTTTCAGCTCAAACAGGTGAGTGGTTAACAGCAGTGATATTTTTGGCAGTGCTTTAAACAGACAAACATTGTTCATGTTTTACAAAGACTTGGCTGAGAACATAAAATCAACCTGACAAACACATGTGAAAATGCAAATGTTTTATAAGTTAAAAATCCTTAACGAAATGATATAAATGTAAGTTAGAGTAATATTACTTTAATATTTTAAAAGCTGCACCATCTCATGCTACTTGATTCTTGAACAGATTATTGAAGACATGACCAGTATGCTTAAAGACGTTTTCAATCATCTAGTTCGACAGCTGTTTACACACAGTAGTGATGCAAGATGCCAGTATAAGTTCATCTCTGGATGCTCAGCCATCTATTTATAGCTCACACGTGACATTAGTTGCCTCTCACTAACAGTATGAGCAGCTTCAAATGCCTGCAACTTGAGTTCTTGCACATGTTTGTTTTTATCTGGAAACAGCCTCTGAATGCATATCCACTGTAACTTTACAGGTTGAGTCTGCAGTCAGGCCACTGCTGGATGCCTACTTCCCCCCACTGTCCGGTGTGCATGTGTTGGCCCAGCCGGGCAGCTTCTACGTGGCCTCAGCTTTCAGCCTGGCTGTCAACGTGATCGGGAAAAAGGTGGTGACCCGCCACTGGGACACCCTTGCTCAAGGTGAGCTACTTAATTCTCTAAAGTTCTCTTTGTCCTGTGTTGAGTCTGACTGTAATACATCTGTCTGTGCACTCTGACAGTGAATATGTGTAGAAAATGATATGCCGTTTTTAAAACAGGATTGTTTGTGTTCTCATATTTTTTGTGTCAATTTTGTTTTCCCACATGGGGGTTGCATAATCATAACAAAACCATCAGAGGTCAAATCACATCCTCAGTTCTGAGATAATACACTGTGTTCTATATTTCTGACATGGTCACCCTCTGTATTTACGCAGGTGTGAACAATGAAGATACCGAGTTCCTGTACTACATGAATGAGGGTGTTTATGGCCCATTCAGCCGCAAGCTGCTGGGAAACTGCATCGCTGCCCCGTCAGTGCACAAGGTTAGTAGGCCTCTGCTCAAGAGAGTCAACCCCATTCAGGACTGAATGAAGAATCTGATAGCAGCTCTAGTTGAATAGAGAAAAGGGGTCATACAGTATGAGTATTTAAGGAAGCAGGATCAGAATTGCTTTCGATAGTAAATCATGTTGACCTATATATA